GCTCTGGTGTGGTTTGCTCCTTCGTTCCTACCAAACATCTGTCGTCCTGATCTCTCATCCTTCTTTTTTGTATTTGTTACTCTCTTGTAACAACTCTTATCTTGGGCACTTATATGACCTTATTGTGTTGCAAGTGCCGTAAAACTCTCTCTAAACAAAACGAAATACCTGTGAGGGGCTGGGCTGTACACTGGTGTGGTTTGCTCCGTCTTTCGACTGTGTTGATCTGTCCTCCTTCTTTTCATTGAATGTTACTCCCTGTCGTAACGCCTATAATCGGTGGGTGGTTGGCGGGTGCACTGATGTGGTTTCCTTCTTCTTTCCTATCAAACATCTGACGTCCTTATCTCCCCTTCTTCTTTTTTTATGTTTGTTGCTCTCTTGTAACAACTTCTAATCACCTGGCGCTCATATGACCTTATACAGTTGCGAGCGCCGTAAAACCTCTACTAAAACTAAAACCTGCAATCGTCAGCACTTATTTGACCTATTCGAATTGCAAATGCCGTGAAAACCCTATCAGAACGAAGAGTAGATCTACTAAAACTATTACCGGACTGGCTAAAGTAATACAAGAACGAGGCGTGGGTTTTTAATATTATCAGCTTTACCTGTCTACGGGCGTACTAATGTAGATCTAGATCTAATACAACCTGTCCCGCTTACAATACATTTTGTAATTATTGTTGTGGCACTGCTTATAGGCCTACCGCAGGTGATTACCCCCCGGGGCAGTGCCACTGACTGTAGTGTCTTTAGGCCATTTCCCAAAGAGGGGACATTTCTCGTTCAAGCACAGGAGAATTGTAAATGGGCTGACTCATGTCACGTTCATAACTGTGCCTGATCCACAACAGGGAACTGCTGCTTTTTCTTTCCTGATCCTTACTATTGTCATTTTCCTCTACTTCTTTTGTATGTTTGTCACTCTCTTGTGACCTGCTATTTTGGGGTGCCTTGATAGTGGAAGCAGACTTTGTGCTGTTGAAGCTGGAGGGTTGAGCAGAGTAAGTCTGATTCCCTGTAAAGACTTCTCTGTAGACACCCACCCTAGACGGTCAGAGATCGCATAATAAGAACGTATAGCACCCACCCCTTGGCGCTCATATGACCTTATGAATGCAGTAGCGAGCGCCGTAAAACCCTCTACTGTAAAAAAAAAAAAAAAAGAGCAGGTGATTGGCGGGAGCTACTGGTAGGTCCCTCGTCTCTATTTTTGTCATCGCTTGTTTCCACACATGCCTGTTTTTCCTCTTCCCTTCCTCGTGGATGATCGATTTTGTGTTGAGTTCCTTCTTAGTCGCCAAACGAACAGCGGAATTAGCGAATACAAAATTAGTGAATACAAAACATGTACGGAAAACTGTGGCAGTGGGTGGTTGGTGGGTGCTCTAGTGTGGTTTGCTTCTTTTCTATCTATTGTCGTCTTTGTCTCCCCTCCTTCTTTTTAAAGATGATAAAACTGTGGAAGTGGGTGGTTGGTGGGTGCTCTCGTGTGGTTTGCTTCTTTTCTATCTAACTATTGTCGTCTTTATCTCCCCTCCTTCTTTTTTGTATTTGTTACTCTCTTATAACACCTCTAATCTTCAGCACTTATGACCTTATTGTGTTGCAAGTGCCGTAAAACACTTGCTTAAACTAAAGTAAAACAACTGTGGCATGAACTGTTCTCTCAGCTGTCCCTCCCGATTACGATCCTGTGTATGTGTGTGCGTGTGTGCGTGTGTGTGTGTGTGTGTGTGTGTGTGTGTGTGTGTGTGTGTGTGTGTGCGTGTGTGTGTGTGTGTGATTGTTTTTTAGATTTCATTAATTGTTTTT